TGGTTGAAAACGGGTAAAAACCATGATATATCAGTTAGCCTGGTAACTTTCTCCCTGGTTCTCAACAATCTCTAGTTGACTGTCGGATCCTACAAACAAGCGAACCATCGGGTAGAACTTACTTTCCTGGAGCGGTAACTCTACCATAGCTCTATTTCCAAGGTTTAACGATCAGTTAGTCTTTCTACCTTTCAGCTTCCTGGACTAACTTCTCATTTGGCTCAAGGCAGCTCCCTGGTGAAGGGTATAGCTTTGCCAATGCAAGACTCAATTCCTAAACATCCTAATATAAAATGTGATCCAGGCCATAAACCCTATATGGAGCTCTTTCCTGCAATCACCAAACAACGAGTCACCCTCGGCTTTGGTTGGAACCATGCCAAGGTTTCTCGAGACCAAAGGTCGAGTCCCACGCCTGGAATACCCTTAGCGCGTGTATCCTAACCAATAGCCCATCGTGAATATGACTAGATAACTCGTCAAGATCCCAGACCTTATCAAGTTATGTGCCTGACTTCACCTACGAGTCCATAGTCAAACCTTCCGTGGTCCGACCGGATGCTCTGCCACCGCACCGTTTAGTCAAGCCTTCACTTGACAATTCGGTCTCGTGTAATATGGACCCAGGCCGCCTCGGTCTCTCTACCAAGGTCCTGCGCCATGCTCACCTCGATACTCTATCGAGCTGCAGCATGATTGCCACTAACACCGACACTTTACCGTGGCGCTGTCGAGGTATCACCGAACTATATCGGGCCCTCTCGAGACGCAGCACGATGTCTATCGACCCGCGACACGATACCATACTGATGTGACACGATCTCTTATCGAGGCGCAACATGGTATCCTCGTTTGGCGTGACTCGCTGCCGTGTAGTAACGTGGCACGTCTCATACCGCGACACGCTACCTTCTGCTAGTTACCCGTTGAGGCGTCATCGAGGCACCCCGAGGCCATACCGATGCCTTATCCTAACATCACCATAGTCTGGATAGAGACACTCATCAAGGCACCCCGAGGCCATGCCGATGTTCTCTCCTCACTAGGCAAGTGCTACCGTTACCAGACCAGGTGCCTGCCGATACGTGACCCGATCCCTCATCGATCCCGTATCGCAGCCCCTCGCCATCCACGAGACCCTTCTCGTGCTCGACCGTAGTCGAGTGGAACTCGGCCACTACTCTACACTTGTCGAGTCTCACATATGGATCCCTTATCCGGATCGAGTTACCTCGACCACTACCTAGCCTATGACCCCATACTACTAAAACACTCTACGAAAGCAATAATAATAAAGGACAGAAAGGAGGTATTAGGTACGGATCACGTCTTACCTCAACCGTGAACCTTCTCAAGCTCCTTCGATTCTTCCTTCCTGAGCGTTTTCCTTTGGCTCTGGAAGAGAAGAATGATTTTGGTGTGTAAAATATGAGCTCCGTAGCTCCCTATTTATACCCCACGAAAATTCTCTTTGAGAATATTCACTTTCCTTATTTTTCTCCACCTCCTTACTACACGGGCCAAGCCCACTAGCCTCCACGTTTTTCCTTCCTCACCAAGGAAAAACTAAGATTTCCTTCCTCTTTCCCACGTCACTAGAACCTCTAGGCCCGATAGGCTGTTACCTAGTCTGACAGAAGCCGACTTTACTCCTAAGTTTTCCTACCGAACCTCCTACCGCAGGTTCGGGGTGTTACACCTACTCAAGCAGGATATGAGCAGCAAGCCGCAACACAAACAGCAGGATATGCGGTTGCACCTGGGAGCGCATAAGTGAAAACCCAATCTCCACGGATGCAAGTGTTATTTGATATTTTGATCTGATAGCTCTTGCATTGATACCATGTCACAGATAATTTGAGGACGGCCTCATATAGTACGTAGGTAATTTGATACAAACCGAGCTGAAATTGTTTCGGTACCTAGATAGGTCCTACCCTCTACCCGAACGTGTTTTAGATACTCGAATGCCCATCCCTACCCGTACGTGTTTTGGATAAGGCTATTACTGTGATTGCTCTTTGCTATTTTCACATAACAGCCACATCCTTGAACCGTTTTTGTTGTCTTAGCAACAAGTCACTTTCTTCTTCATCTCCTGCCAGGAACTTTTACTTTTCTTGTCCAAAAGATTGTGTTCGTCGTATCAATGCCCGTTGTATTGGCCATACAGCAAAGGTAATCTCTCTTATAGCAAAGAGATCTGTATTCATCATTCATGTTCAGTGTTTCTGGCATCAGAAACGAGCAAACCACACCCGATAATACAAAAGATAATTTCAATCTTTTTGTTGTCTGATGAATCAGAAAGTGAGCTTATTTGAATCAATGTCAAAAGAAAACAAAAATCAGTAATGAGTTTCATGGGCCTGAATGGGCCCAGTGAGAGAGAGGCCCAGACTAATTTCCGTCGAGCGAGGTGTCACCTTCCTATTGAATTTTGAAGGAAACAGAAAAGTGGAGCAAGGAGAAGAGTGGAAACTGAAGATCGATCTGTGAGGGTTATTTGATATTTTGATCTGATTGTTGAAATTTCGCGAGCTTAAGCTTCAGCTTCAGCTATGGATTCTTCAACAAATTTAAACCCTCTCCGCGAAAATCTCCCGGAGGAAGATGGAGGAGAACCAATAGAAGAAGCTCCGGCGTCTGTCTTCGCCGCTCGTCCTCTTCGTCCTCCTTCTACGTGAGTCTCATCGACTGTTTTTTTCATTCGATTACTCGATCTTCGTTTCTCGATTCTCCTTCCGTCGCAATCTTTTATTTTCGGTGGTTATTTAGAAATGAGCGATAGTGAAGTGTATAAATTACATCGTGAAATGAAAAGATTGAATGGGTTTTGTTTCAGGAGTTCGTCGGAAAAGTATTCGCCTGTAGAATGGACAAACTATTTTGATAAAGAAGACGATATATCCATTCCTGGCTCAAACGATGTAACTATTAACGAATTCCATTTCAATTTCGAGTTTAACGTTTGGTAATTTTAGTTTCTCTGTTTCTGATGGAACATATCATTTTAGGTCTTTCACGTATATATGGCAGGAACTGAAGGACCTGTTGTGTTTTGTCTCCATGGAGGTGGCTACTCTGGGTGAGCGTTTTTTGATCTTGGCTCTGCGAAATCTGACTAAAGACTGGGTTTAGGTCGCTCTTGAGCTCAATGAGTTCATTCTAATTTTCAAACTAAGAATTGACATGGAATCATGGATTGTCGGATTAGAATTTTCATTTCGGTTGTGGTTTCAGTTTGTATTCTCGGTGAATGTGTATATGGAAACTAGACAGGCCACACACAGTATAATAGTTTTATCTGTTCTTGCCAGGCTCTCGTTTTCTATAGTGGCGAGTAAAATCAAGGAGAAAGCACGTGTGGTTGCGATGGACTTGAGAGGACACGGGAAATCGGTTTCAGAGAATGAACTGGACTTATCGCTCGAGGTAAAACATCCATTGTCTTGTTTTTTTTTTCTAAAAGTCTGGATTTTTTCATCCATTATACATTTGCTGGTCTTTGGGAATTGAGACTGCTGAAATGAGATGAACATGCAGACAATGAGCAATGATGTTTTGGCTGTGACAAAGGAATTGTACGGAGACTCTCCTCCAGCTATTGTGCTAGTTGGTCACAGGTTTTTTCTTTTTTCAATTTTATTTGTCATATCAGTATGTTGTTTTTGAACTATATCTTAAAGTGTAAACGGCTGGTCAATAGCAAGTACCTGCTATAATTAACTTTCAGTGCCCCAACGAATATCTTCACACCTGTAACATATATAATAAAGCTTAATCACTAGTACCTGCTATAATTAACTTTCAAATAAATAGTTGATGTAAAATCTTTGCAGACAGCCGCGCGCTCATGTGTGTGTTTATCGTCTGATAGTTTTTTTTGTAGTTCTCGATCTATTTGGTACAACATTTTGTCTACTGAATCTATGGTTATGACTTCAATTCAATAGTATGGAACATTTATGGGCTCGCTTTGGTACAGGGTTGTAGTGATAGATGCCGCATAAACCTGTAGAATAAAATTATTGTAATCCAGTTTTCATGAATTGGTTTCATGTTTTTAACATATAGCATGGGAGGTTCGGTCGCTGTGCAAGTTGCTGCCAACAAAACGTTGCCTAGCT